CCCAGAGTTGACAGGTTTGACAGTTGAGCTTGGCTATCCTGGGAAGCATGACATCTTGATAATGACATGAATTCCAGGAAAGCGTTATTCTATTCTAGACTATAGTGTCCTGTTTCTACCCTCATCTCAGTTGTAATCTTACTGTGTGTAAGAGTGTTGGCATGGCGTTGAACTTCGTGAGTAGTGAGAAAGGAAGGCGTAAACTGCTCCTTGACGGTCATTTATATTACAAAGACAAGCAAGTGCAGGAAAGGGTTTATTGGAAGTGCGAAAGATTTCGAAGTACAAAATGCGGAGCGCGAGTTATAACGGAAGCCAACGGTGTTTTGAGCAAGAGGAGTGAGCATAATCATGTAGGAGATGCTGCTCACGTGAAAGCAGAGAAGGTAATGACAGCTATCGTGATACGAAAAGAAACACTCGTGACACACCAACCTATATTGTGTCTTCCGCGTCGATTGGAGCCAGTCAACCCCAAGGGGGTATAGTTCATTATGTCAACCCCTCCTACCCCACCGGACAGGGAGGTTGACATAGCGAACGTGAATCCACCCCGACACTTAATTGAGTGAGTTTGGCCTACAGGCTCGTGATGTTACCCTCCCCTGCCCTTCCTTGCGAACCTCTCCCTTGGGGGATGCATGAGCAGCGCCATGCTAGTTTCACGTTAGGGTCCCCGTCGTCTGCTCGTCTTATGCTTCTCTTCCCTACGTTTCCCCGCGAAGGGCGCTCAGAACACTGATAGTGAGGTCGAGCGACCAAGTCCATAGGAGAGCCAGAATGACATGAATTTTGGAATTGAATTTCACTACGCAAGTATCAGAGGCGGTCCTTTCCCTCTTTCTTGTCCATCCTCTTTCTCTCTGATTCACGGATGTATTCCGGAAAGGATGCAGGTGTTCCAAATGTTTTTGACCCACCGCATAAAAAATGGCTAAATACTGTCAGTCTTTNATGTATTCCGGAAAGGATGCAGGTGTTCCAAATGTTTTTGACCCACCGCATAAAAAATGGCTAAATACTGTCAGTCTTTGTGAAAATATGTCGGGGTTCCCAACAGTATGAGAAACCAACGCGACGAGTGTTGTCCGTCAATTTGTTTAGCGCTTTGGGACCCCTATCAGAGAGGTTCCTGAAGGTCCGCGAAGGTCATACTAAGTAATTCAAATAGGAGTTGGTGCGTGCGGAATTCTTGGCTATGTGGAATGAATATCGAAATATTTCCGATAATCTCGTATTCTTTATTTTGGTGGGTCAGAAACTTTCGGAATATCCTGTACATCCATCCCTTGCCTAAAGAGTCCACGTCCAAATTAAAGGAATCATGTCAAGTGAAAGTTAAGTACAAAGTATTTAAAAGGAATAAAACAGAAGAAGTCAATAAAAAGGAATAAAACAGAAGTCAATAAAAAGGAATAAAACAGAAGTCAATAAAAAGGAATAAAACAAAAGTCAATAAAAGGAATAAAACAAAAAGAAAAATGGAGATGCTGTGTCAAAAAAAAAAATGAAAACCAAATGACCAATTGTCGAAGACACGTGAGTCCCAGGGAGTAAATCAAAATCTGTCAGAAAAAGGTCTGAGGTTTTCATGTCTGGGGATAAAAACGCTTGACATCATCCAAGAAGTCTCGGAATGGCCTGGCACCATGGATGGAGCGCCACCAGGCCTCATAAAGGTGATATTGCAGCATGCTCTGTGTTGTTCCCCGCCCCCTCGTCATTATTCGCGATTTCACTACCGCCCAATGGGATTCTATCATTTGTGTGTTGCATCCTGTCACAGGATCGACAAAGTTCTCTGAGTGATTGACTGTTTTATGTATGAAACCATGCTGGCTTAGGCTTCCGTAAGCTTTCCACTCATCGGACCAAATTTCTGTTCCTGGATTGATGTGTTTCTGTATGATCGGGAGCAAGGTACGTCTGTCCCTCTTTGGTACTAGCAGGAGGCGCAATTCAGTTACACCATCATGGTGCCAGGCCATTCCGAAAACCCAGGGACCAGCGACAGCATCCCCATAATTTTGGCATGCGGGAGGAACGGCATTCCCTTGTAGAATTCTTCCTTTGTTGTTCTTCCTCCTCGCTCTGAAATTTTGGTCACAAGCCGCTAAAGTTCATGAAATGCAGGAGGGCACGGAAACAAAGACAAAATATTCTCACCGGAAGTAGCTTTCATCTATTTGGATTATGAATCCTGGCCCTCCCATGGGTACCGCTGCCTCGAACGCCTTTTTGCATATTTCTCGGCAGAAATGCCTCCAATCAACAAAAGTTTCCCTGCGAAGGGCGCTCAGACCCCCCACCATTGCCCGCTGGCATTGTTTTATGGTGAGGTCGAGCGTCCAAGTCCATAGGAGGGCCAATATGACATGTATTTGTAGTTTTGTGCAGGGTCTCCCCAGACGATCCTTGAAAGCTAAGAAGGTACCTCCCTCCCGTTGTCCTCCTTGCCCTTGCTGTTGCTGTTGCTGTTCCAAAACCATAGGGCCGCCTCTCGCACTCCAATAGGACCTACATATCGTACAACGAACAACGGGGTACGTTTTCCCGCGAGATGTCACGTTCCCGTCCCGTAGTCTTCCCCTGCAATCTCGTTTCCTGCAAGGAACTTCTTGCCGTGCTGAAGCAAGTGGCAAAAGCCCCTCTCGGCGTGAAAATTCGATAGCGGCCTCTTCATTCAAGATGATTCCCGCCAGCTCAAAAATACCGACATCAACAGCCATCCTGACACGGAATATGCACACCTTTTCCAAAACAACAGGTAAGCAATGGGAAAAAAGTGATACTATAGGAACTTTGGCAACTTACGCAAGAATTGCAGAGGACGGGTAAGGTGGTTGATGTAGAAAACAGGAATGGCAAGAATTACGCGACAAGGCTTCCCTTTTATGTGGTAGGTCGTTCTGTGTGACCTGGGGTTCTTATCAGAACTGCACTTTCACCCTTTCACCGAGGGGAAAATCTTCCCTGTGACCTGCTACCCCTTCCTCATACCCGTGATGCGCATTGATGTAATACGCAATTTACAGATAAAAACTTGTGTTGCATGCCATATTGTATTTTTTGAGGGGATGGAAACGTCAGGCCTCGTTGGGAGCAATAGCTCTGGATTTTTGCACCTTAGGTGTGGCATATTGAAGTGTGATTCGGCAGTCGTCCAATTTTCGGTCAAGAAGTGCTTTGTCCTGTCCTGCTAATCGTGGAACTTGAGTCTGGAAGTGAGATCGCTTGTTACTTCCGTTCCCCAAAATATTTTCCCCCCTATTCCTATTTCCCCCATTTTCTGCTATCCCATAAATTATCAATCATATGCATTTTTTAACCTTCCCTTAACAGGGGTGTCAAACTGACGGTCCGCCAGTCATTTTTTCCGGTCCGCGAAGTCCTCTTCAACAGTCGGTTACGGAAAATCACTGCAAATTTCAGCCCGTCTGCATGAAATATTAGATATTAGACTTTTATTGTGGCCCCTTATCACCTCCATAGCGTTACAAATAAAATCGACCGGTTAAGACTTCCAATCTCTATTTGTTCGAATTGGACGACCGAAAAAGACGATCCCACACCTTCCATATAGAACGAACATGTGACCTATCTGCTTTTAGTCAGAACAACCGTTCAACCTCGGATCTGGTCATCCTATGCAGTGAGCGTTTCGCGCTACTGAAGTGCCAGAGGTTGCCATAGGGTGGTTTTTCGGGTCTCATGATCGGTTTGGAGACCCAGCACAAAAATTCATGTCATTCTGGCTTTCCTATGGACTTGGTCGCTCGACCTCACTATCAATGTTCTGAGCGCCCTTCGCGGGGAAACGTAGGGAAGAGAAGCATAAGACGAGCAGACGACGGGGACCCTAACGTGAAACTAGCATGGCGCTGCTCATGCATCCCCCAAGGGAGAGGTTCGCAAGGAGGGGCAGGGGAGGGTAACATCACGAGCCTGTAGGCCAATCTCACTCAATTCAGTGTCGGGTGGATTCACGTTCGCTATGTCAACCTCCCTGCCCGGTGGGGAAGGGGGATTGACATAACGAACTATACCCGCGAATTCAAGGACTATCCTTTGTTGTCCAACAACTTGGGTTTTGTCAAAACCCGCATCATGCTGATTCTCTCTATGCCATCCAAAATATCGGAAAGTACTATAGTTATTAATGGCAGTCATTGTTAAGTTTTCTGGCCAACTTCCTGCATGGAATAGCAGGAACACTACTGCCCTTTAGAGGTTCCCTACCACGTTAGTTACTGAATGTCTGAAGGAATTGAGCACGAAAACGTCACGGCAAAGAAAGAAGGAAATGAAAGAGGAGTGAAATCGAAATTTAAAAAAGTGTTCCGATTCCAAAGGTGTTATAGTTAGTGACCTGATGTGAACGGAGGCAGGACGATGAAGAGAGTTTGAGAAGCCGATTCCAGTGAAGAGGGAAGGCTCCGTCCCATTTCCACTTCTCACGAGAACTCCTAGAAAAAGACTGGTTAGAGAAAAGTGCAAGTGCCTTCAGGGGATTTCTTCGTTCCCAGCCGTCTCGGCACGACGAATGACTGTCGAGTGGAAAAAATAGTCTAGGGAAGGGGCCAGAGAGACAGAATCTGATGGAAATGCTCTCGAGTTCCTCTTCTTTTTCTTTCTTAACGAGGCCATGCATTTCTCGTGGAAACGGCTTCGCCATTCAGTCATTTCATCCGTCAGGGATCAAGGATGTCAGCTTTCCTGCATCACGCAGGGAAAAGAATCCGCTCAAGAAATAATGGTATTGAAAGATGGAGAACGTGGGTTTCGTCTTCGCTTCTCCCGTTTCTCAGCGGTCTACTGGACGATGTCAAAAGATTGCCGAAGCTCAAACTCATCGAGGAGGTCGAAGGAGAGGGGTGAAAGGTCAGAGAAGGATGAATCCCTATAGTGGGATATCCGGGAGTTGATCCAATGAGTCTCAGAGTGACGCACTCCTCAACTCTAAGGCTTCTTTTTCGTTCTTATATAAAATTGAGGGAAGGAAACCCTTAGAGTGAGGGTCTTCCGACCCCTGTCCGTACGAGCGACTGTCTCCCTACCCCTTCCCCTACTCCTGCGTGTGTGGAACAGAGTGCAGACACAGATTGTGGGAGGAATAAAATCATCAGGAAGATGCTTTCGCTTCTCGTTCTCCCCATCCTGGCGACCATTGCCATCAAGGTCTTCAAGAAGACCTCGCCCAACGGTACATCTTTTTTTCGTTTTCGTGCATCGTCCTCCGAGATTCGACCGTTCTTAGCATTTTGCTCGAATGGTGCAGGGAAAATAACGGTGTATTTGGGGAAGAGGGACTACGTGGACCACTTGAACAACGTGGATCCCATCGATGGAGTCGTCGTCGTCGACTCGGAGTACCTCCACGGCAGGAAACTCTTCGGACAGGCTCGTTCCCGTTCATTACTTTCCTTGTCTCCCTTCCCTCGTCGAGTTCCTCGTCTCAACCACTCGGACGAAAATGCGTTCAGGTGGTGACGAAGTTCCGATACGGACGAGAAGCCGATGAGACCATGGGTTTGAAGTTCACCAAGGAAATGGTCCTAGCCCGCGCCCTGATCCAGCCGGATAGCCAGCCGAGCAACCAAATCTCCGAACTTCAGGTGAATTCATCCACACATTCCTGTCGATTTCCATGCCGAAGAATGTTGACGGCTGAAATTTAGGACCTTTGCCTGAAAATTTTGGCTGCTCGAGATTGCCGAAACTTTCAGACGCCCTTCTATAACCACACATTTTAGAGGAAAGAGACAAAATGAAATTTCAGTCGTCCATGAACGGCCGAGGTATTCATTTTAATGGAAAGTCTTTGTAGAGAGCTTTGTGCTCTTGCTTTGCGACGAAGCTACAGAATCTCCTTTGGATTGCAACAGCAAAGATTGATGAGGAAGCTGGGGCCGGGGGCGAGGACCTTTCGTTTCCAGTTGCCTGTAACGGCGCCGACGTCGGTGACACTGCAACCCAACCTAGGTGAAGAAGGGAAACCCCTCGGTGTGGAATACGCGCTGACGACCTGGGTCGCCGAGAACCAGGATGAAAATCCCCATCGTCGCAGCTCCGTCTCCATGGCCATCCGAAAGGTGCCCCTTCCCATTCACATCATTATATAATTTGTTTGCGTTCGCGAGATGGAACTCGGTCTCGATTGAACAGGTGCAATATGCGCCGGTGAGTCGGGGGATCCGTCAACCAAGCGCCGTCGTGAGCAAGGGATTCGCAATGAGTAGCGGTCGATTGAACCTTGAAGTCAACTTGGACAAGGATATCTTCTATCACGGGGAAAAGGTTTCCGCCAACGTCTGCGTCAGCAACAATTCTCGCAAGACCGTGAAGAGCTTCAAGGTCTCCACCCCCTCTCTTTTCCCTTCTTCCTTCCGTCTTTATAATTCCAGGTTGACAAGGGCTTTATTAACCCGAATCTCCTCTTTTGGCATTCGGAGTAGGTGAGCATCGTGCAGCAGTGCGAGATCTCGGTGGTGAATGCCCAGTTCAGTCGAGAGGTTGCGAGTCTTCAGACGAAGGAAGGATGCCCCATCATGCCCGGTACAAGTCTTCACAAGCAGTTCTTCCTCACTCCACTCGCCGGGAATACGAAGAACAAGGAAGGCGTGGCATTGGACGGACGCCTCCGGGTATCGTCATCTATCATCTCACTGCCAGACAGATAGAGGCTGGAATTTTTCAAATTCGTCTTTCACTGTCGCTAGGTACAACTTTTGTCGCGTGCCCGGATGTAATACTTCTAGAAGATGTTATTCTCTAATAACGATATCTGAATCGTGACACTTAACTCGTGCATAGCAATATCAAGTAGGTATCAGGTGAACTCATGGTTTATTCGGGATGTCCGTCAGAAGAACATGTTCCACCCTCTCCACTCCTCTTTCTCCTCCCCATCTTCCGCCATGGGCATGAATCTGAGGAAATCGACAAACTTTTCGCCCAAGATCTTCCAATCAACAAATGGGACTTCTATGGCACTCTGCAATTTGCGTGTCGGTTCAATGCAAATGATTATTCTGCAAATTTGGGATGTAGCCCGTCAGAAATTGCTATCTGGGAGTAAGGGACGCAGTGAAGAGCTTCATTTATTGGGGGGTTTAAACCCCCACCCCCCTCTCTCTCCATGTATCTGGATTGAGGGAAAAAGTCCAAACCCCGTTATTAGTCCTCACTCCGATAGTATCAAAATGGCCAGCGCCGCCAAATGGCAATAAGAAGACTCCAATCCTTCCGCTTTATTCTCATGAGCAAAGTCATTGCGTCTGAATGCGACTTTAGTTGCTTTCTGTGTTAAAGTACAAGCAGAATGATAGGAAGCTGATGTCCTGTAACGATGGCGCCGCATGTTGATGGTGATGTAACTTAGGATGAAGATGCCAACTTGGCTTCGTCAACGCTGGTGGCCGATGGTGAAAGTACGGGATCAGCCTTCGGGATCATTGTCACCTACGTTCTCCGGGTGAAACTCAACTGCGGTCATCTGGGCGGGGAGCTCCTCGCTGATCTCCCTTTCAAGCTCCTTCACCCGGCACCAGGTACATCTCCATCTCATTTTTATCTTAAAGGGTTAAACCTTTCGTTTTTCTATACCTGCTCTCATGAAATAAGTGAATGTCACGACATTCTCTTAGATGCCTGTGTATGCTGCGGGCTGTCCGATTTCCCAGCCGAACGGCATTCAGGAGTTTAGAGATACGCACGGAAACTGGAACAGATAAACCTCAACTAGCCGGTCACACGTTCAAACGTGATTTATGGCATCGTTCACTCGATCAAATAAATTTCATGTTTACGTTCCCGCAAAATTTCATGGAAGTCGATATACGTACTTAATATCTTCCATTCGGTTTCAATTCGGACAATTCAGGATACCTTGTACGAGCCACCTGTCAGCATCTTTTTTTTCTGCTTGCAGCAGTCAACTCTGGATAACATGACATCTTTACAAGACTGAAATGCAAATTAGAGTAGTTTTTAAATGCAACATGACTAATAAGGCCCGTATCCATGTTGAAGATTTTATTTCCTCTTGTTAGTCTTTCTATCTCAAAAGCACTGGTAATCAATCAGCATGAAAGGGGAAGCTGGAATCCTGCATAACCGAGGAATAATGGATGTGATACGTGTAGGGTCGGAGGCGGAGGTACGGATCAGAGCAGAGAAGAAGGCGAGGGAAATTGAGGCGCATCACAAGCGACAGTCCACGTTGAACGACACTGACGATGACGATCCAAACATTGTCTTTGAGGATTTCAAACGCATGAGAAGTATCGACATGGTGGACTCCTGAATCAACCTCATTTCCACTAGTCTCTCCCCTATTCACCCATTACACTTCATGAGGCATTCAAGGCTCTCACTGGAAGATATATGATTATTGTAGTTAGTGCCAAGATCAACCCTCCCTCCTCTACCCCCAGCCGAAGCAAGGGAAGGATGTGAATACATACGGGAACGTTTCACTCTGGTTGTATTGAAGAAAATAAATGCAATACCCAAATATCAAAACAAGTGTCGACTATTTTTATTGTTCTGAAGTCCTGAGAAAATGGAATCTACGTCAGCCACCGCCCAGCAGTGAGCGCAAAATCGGTTAAAGACAAAACAATATGGCATAAGAAAGATGATGAAGTTGGTCATGAGACAAGAATCACAGTCTGACGGAGGAGTAAGAAGGAGATTCCTTGATAGATTCCCAACCCGGAAGAGCTTTGGGATCCCTTTCCCGAGCAGCGCCGCTAGTGATTTCCGCCAGTCGGACTTCATCTCGGATGCTCAATTTGGCCCTCTTCCCCTTCGACATCACGGTCACGATCCCTGATGTTGAGCCTGAACCTGAGGCTTCCAGGATCTCATTCTCCTTCCATTTTCCTTGAGCTTCCTTCTCTGCAATCCGAATCTGCTCCAACAGGGATGGACGAGATTGGAATCCCATACTCATCTTCCCTGGAGACTCCGTCGCCCACGCACCATCCACTGTGGTCTTCGACGTGGAACTCAAGTCTGTTCTCATCGTCTTATCTTCCCTTGCAGGTTCTTTCGCTGCGGTGGTCAGCGTCGTAGTAGCTGTTGTCGGTTCAGTTGTTAACGACGCTGTAACTTCTGTTGTCTGCGGGGTCGTGGCTTCCGTTGTCGATATAGTCGTTGGTCCTTCAGCAAGGGCAGCAAAAGTTTCGGTCGTAGGGGTGGACTTGCTCGTGGCGGGGCTCGAGTCTGGGATCCATTCATACTCTCTCGTGGTACTTCGATCTTCTGAAGTCATGATCACGCTCGTTTTATGCGTCATCATAGTTGTAGATGATGAGAGACCTAGTGTGGGTGGAGCAGAGGTCACGGACGTGCTTGTAACAAGCCTGCCCGTTGTTCTATCGAAGTAGACATCCAAAGTGACAGGGAATGATCTGATCTCCAGGTCCCCATTCAGGCTCTTCCCCTGCCTCGATCCCCCCTCTGTTGTCTCCTCATTCATGGTCGTGGTGGTGCCGATGACGGGCTCAGTGGTGGCAGTTGTGATGGAGTCGGCTGTGGCAGTGGTAGTTATGGACTCTGTGGTGGTAGTGGTGGTGGAGGTGGCCTTCCAGAGGATTTTCTGCTTCTCCTCTTCCACCTTCTGCTGTTTCAGTCTCTCGGCACGGAGCTTCACTCTCTTACGCAGGAACTCCTTCAATCGGATAGATGGATCCACTGGAGGCTCTGATCGATTCAGGAATGGAATGGAAGGCACTTTCCCGGCTTTGGTGGGGATGGAGCTTCTGCTTCTGCCTCCAAAGAGGCGATTCCGAGTCGAGACCCCCTGAGGTTCAAGAACACTCGGAGGGGGGGATGGGGATGTTCTTGCTTTGTCTGCTTCCCCTTTAGGTTTCCTTGTCTGCGTCCTTGTCCTCGTGGAGAAGAAGCCCTTTCTCCGATCCCAAACTGAGGCTTTGGTCGTGGAGGGACCAGTCGTCGTTATTCCATCTTGCCTCGATAGGGAAAGAGAAGAATTAAAGGTAGTGGGGGTGGTGGTGGGCCTCGCCCTGATGAAGCCGCGGAAGCCGACAAGCCTAGGCCTCTGTCCTTGAGTGTCAGGTCCAGGCCTCTGTCCTTGAGTGTCAGGTCTAAGCCGCTGGCCTTCGACGCCAGGCCTGGAGCCGGATGACCCGCGTCCACGTCCGAGACCACGTTCACGACCGAGAATGATGCGACTGAGGGGATCCGAAGAGTTTCTTCTGGGCACTTGATTCACGGGCCTTCTCATAGCATAGTCCTCCAACTCCTGTTTCTCTCCTTCCATCTCCGACAGAAGCTTCAGCTGTTTCTCCTGGACAACTTCACGCGGACGTAAGGATCCAAGTTCAAGGAGATGGTCCTGCTGACCACGATTACGACGATGCTGCTGCTGCTGTTGTCTTTCTCTGCCAATGGCTTCTGGAGAAGGAACCCGAGGCTGACCATCGTGAACCTGCCGAACTATGTGGTTCCGATTATGAATGCTGGTGAAGAGGGGCATGAGACGAGACACATCAATCATATCATCCAGACTCTCATCCCTTTCAATTTCTCTCCTTCCATCGATTCTCCTTCGTCCTTGGCGGAACGCACTATCATCGTCATCGTAATCATCGTCTCTTTGATCCCCGTTGTCATGGTGAGGATTAGCAGCATTGGTATTGAGAGGCATGAGGTGGGAGACGTGGGTCCAGTCATCTCGATCCAGATCCTTTCCTTTCCGACCGATCCTCTTCCGAGACAATAGGACCTTCTTTTCACGAGACGAAGACGGAGGACTTGGAAACAAGGAGAGAAAGGGGGTCGTGTCAAAGATGATCTGGGGTCGGGGATTTCGCAGTCGAATATCACCATCGTCTGTCACCTCCCTCAAGATCTTCCCACCCTCCCTCTTCTTCTTGGCTAGGACCTCCTTTCCAAAGTGTTTTTCGGAGTCTCTAGAAAGCACCTTGCCATTCCCTGGACTCTTTATCAGTTCAATCCCCTTTAATTCCTGTCCCTTCTCATTTTCTTCCGAGAATTCCTCGATTCTTGGAATGGTACCGTCTAAAAGCTTCTCGCTGATTATTCCATCAGGCTGGACAGGGGAGAAAAAGCATTTTGACGGACATAAAGCGAACAATTTATGCAAGATGAGTCGTTAATGTAAGACTCGAGCCTCAATTTACATATAATGGCTGAAAAGAGAATCAGAAATTCGAAAATTACCTCGGCATCTTCACGAATCACTGACAACTAATGTTAATGCAAAGACCCATAGCGTAACTGTCGTCTCATGAGTTCGAAGTCGGTTATTTGAATTTCCGATGTTATCGACTGTAATTATGTCCCAATCCCATTTGTTCGGAAGTGAGACAGTGGCAACACGTGGATTTCCGTGTGCACGATACCTTCCAGACCTCGTTGTATGAAGAAACACCGAAAGGAAATCTGAACATGATCATCGAAGGACACAAGTATTAGGAAAAGAAATTGCCCCAACCTGAGAGAAATAGGCTGTGTTCATATGCAAGAAGTCACACCCCAACATGTACGAGTTCCCCCATAGAGACAGGTTGAACAATCACGACGTGAAGACCATCCTGCTATTCAGCGGAGCGAATTTTCCTCCAGCACGTAAGAGGTATCGCATTATAGAGGTCATATATCAGTATTATAAGCAATTAGGTGGAGATAGAACAGTCGAGTCTTTTCCCATTACCTGCGGTTCCCATGTACAGTGTATCCTGAAATGTTCTGGACCCAGAAAATTCAGGATTTTTTTCACCTTTAGGGGACGTTGCACTTAAGGAACCCTTTGAGAGGGCCTGTTTCGTTCCCATTGCCATCTGTCTATTCTAGGCAAGAAAAGATAGAAATCGTGAAGTGGAATTTACAGACAAAGAGTCGATCGAAGTTCAACATAGATTCCAGGAGCATATGGCAAAGCTCCACCTATTAAAGCTTCAATTTACAACCTCCATGGGAAGTTCCTGCATCAAAGAAATGTTGCCAATGCATGGAGTCAAGGGAGTCAAAAAACAAACTCCTCTTCCACAGGGGGTCAAAAGGTCCTTGCAGATTTCAGCAACACCTTGAACAATCCATTCGGAAAGTAGGATCGTTCTTGAACAAATCAAAAACTTAATTTCATAATATCTTGAAGGAGAACTGCTTGAAACCGTCTAAATCTTTCAAAGTGCAAGCTCTTAATCGTGCAGACTATCAACATTGAGAGTACTGGTGGAACAATATCTGCGACAGAATTGACTATGATAATTATTTCGTAAAACAAATAATTTTCAGTGACGAAGCTGTTTTCTATATTCCAATCCCCACCACTGCAACAACTAAAATCTACATTGCTATGAAAAGCATTCCGAGGTACTTCTACGATCAACGCATCTTTTGTGGAGAAATTTTGGGTCCATATTTGTTTAAGGTCTCCCTGGGAAGTCACGAAATCGTGGTGTCAGAGACCTTGCCATGTGTTAAGTGAATGTCACGCTTGCGGTCGGCCAGATTTCATCATTAACATCAACAGCAATTGTCACAATATGTACCTACAAGCCCATAATAGAAGAGCTCACAATTTCCTCAACACCTTTCTGGGATGATGGATCCACAGGAGGTGCCATAGAGTTGCCAACTGGATCCCTCGACCTAATCCCTTTGGATATACAGGGTGTTTCAAAAGTCCGTACTCGTGGGCATTTTGAATTAATTACATTTCTCAATGAATGAGTGCACCAAAATTAGTACAGAAGTACTAAGAAATATTCAGAGGGGGTTATGTGCTAGGATTGATATGTGTATGCAAGTTCGTGGCATGCAATTTGAACATTTAATGAAATAAAGGTAAATTAGGAAATCTGCCCGAGTCCGGACTTTTGAAACACCCTGTATTTATTTGAGGTCATATAAAGAACACCGTTAACGCCACTCGTCCTGGAAATCTATGTGTTGAAAGCTGCCATTCGACAATGTGCATCTTCCATTGCCCAGAATGTATTTCCAAAAGTCATAGAACATTTCGAAAAAAAGAGAGTCTGATTGTGCCTCGCCCAAGGGAGACAGCACCTTAAAAACGTCGCTTGATGTTCAGGAAGCAGAACTTCGAGAATTAAATCCTCGTGGAATGCGAAATCCTGCCATTATTAGCATTGGAGCATAAAAGAAACAATTCGGCAACTCAGTACAGGCACATGTCCCACGTGCTATCTCATGGGCACCTTCAGAATTCCCATTAGCAAACTGTCTTCACGAGTCACTTGTAGGTTCAAAGTCCAGAACATTTCGGGAGACACTGCAGTGTACTTGTGATCAATGACGTTCATCTTGAAGATGCGTGTGACCTTCATCTCCCATTGTCACTGGTAAGGATCCTCAATAAAGGAGTTTTCAGAAGTCGGCCTCAAGAAGGGATTTTCTGCACATCCTTATCCAGAAGGCAGCTAAGCATTCCCAATTTTTCAAGAGTCCCGTCATCGACAATACTCCTAATCTGGATTATTAAAGATGAATTTAAAAGACAACTGATGACTAATGATGCATAGAAGTCTTCGTTTTCTTATTCATGTAATTGTATGCAATAACAGATGAAGCTCTATTAATGCGTACAGTCCATAGAATGAAAGAACATAGACGTTTACCTGTATGGAAGAGGAAGAGGAGAGGCTTGAGCTCCCTTTGCGAATATGATCTACAATTTTTTTTATGGGAAATCCGGCGGAGTTATCGTCAACGAGGAAAGTCCCGCCTTCATTAACAGTGCTCTTCAATCCGCCTTCTTCCTGTCTCTCCTCTGTTCTCACTCTCAAATATTCCTTCAGCCCGAAATTTCCGGTTGATATATCCCCATCGGTTTTCGACCACAGCAATACGAAAATCCAGAATTCCTTCATCCTGTACAGAAAAGAAATGAGATTAACAGAATGCAGGCGTGACATGATTCTCAGAATGCCAAGAGATTACGAAAACTTCTGCTCGAAAGCTAAGGAATTAGCTATATGACGTCAAAATTCCCATTCTCCAAGCACACACGTTATGATCAATTGATATAGCACATAGACATTCAAAGATTCATTTTTACATGTAATTTGTAATTCCATAGGTCACGTTTAACCTTGGAGACTTGCATTGAGATGGACTGAAAGTAATATAAAAGTAAATATGTACAAAACAAAAAATAAGGGAGTAGCCTACTAGCCTATCAGTTCACATTACTAGTTTCCAACCCAAGCTGAACCACTTGGGTCGAATTATACCAGAGGCCATTCCTACTTCTGCGCTTTAGTGCTATGTGCTTGAACCCGCTAAGAGGAAAAGAACAACAACGCGAACATCAAAGGCTGATTATATACTATAGTGAAAGCAATGGGAGTTTTTGAATCAACCCTTTCCGCCTTTATTCCCATTTCTTCACATTGTTTCGGGAATTTTAGAACATACGAATTTACGGATCGTTTCCTTATTTCCGAAGTTTTTTTTCTGCTGTTGGTACGTGTCGAGATGAGGAGGCAGTTACGCTTCTGATGTGCGCAACGTAGACGCCAAGCCGATTGGAATCTTTATGCTGTCACTTTTACCTTCTTTCATTGCAACCGGAGTGCAATCGCACAATCAGTCATATCCGGGCGATGACAGCGGTCAACCATCTTCTTGCCCCTACTCAACAGCATTCCCATTACTCGATCAATATATTTTGCTCGCGAGTCCAAACTGCTTGGGTTGAATGCCAAAATAAATCTGTATTGTACCCGGACGTCGGATCCCTACAAGCCCTCTTGGCGCCACGCTTTCCGGCGAGGAATGTGCAAAAAGTGCCACGCGTGTTTAAGATGTCTACCGCACTCTTGCAATATGCCCAGCGCTGTCCTCTCTTAGCCCTGTAAGGAACCAGCAGCGAAAAAATCTCGCAGTCGAAATAATGAGGGCTAAGTCCTGACAGAATTGGAGCAGCTTTTCTTTTCGAATCAACCTGACTTACCATATAATACAAGAATAGTAGTTGCCGGAACCAAATCGTTTTGGCTCCAATAGAACCACATTTGGCGACGAACATCGACTCGACCAGAGAAACCTAGCGGGTGCGACATATTTTAGGAAAGTCCCGTCCCCTTCTAGCATAGGTCTAATTACCAATACCAATTGTTGGCACTCCATGATCGCACTAGAGGAGGTATCAATGTAACGCGAACGAAGGTCCTTCTCAATCTAGCTAGAGTAGGCTGCGGTTTTGCCTTTCTATTGCCACTCTGAATTAATGATCAGGGTTTAAGGTTCGGGTAAGAGCGTCAATTGCCATTTTTGCCCATTAAGACGTGCCCATGTCAAGGTCGAACAGATTCAAATGAAATAGGAACACCATAAGATTATGCAAAAAAAAGCCAGTGAAAGGAAAGCACAACTCACATAATGATGGAGATGTGGACATTATCACATAAATAGTGGAGGTAGACGTGAACGCGATGGATGGAGGCAAAGGGTTACACATAAGCTTATGTTATGCCTCCCTCCATAAGACGGAGGGGAGAAAGTGAGGCTGGAGGGGGAAGGTCGAAATCCTCGCCTCTAGGCATGTCTAACGACCACGGTTGTTCGATTCCATCAATCGCCCTCACCTCCCGTTCTCCATGCTTTTGTATTGTATTCAACCCACATCCGACAAGAGGTGACAGTTGAAATTTATCCATCCAAAAGGCTAATATTACTTTGATATGATAGGCTTCCAGCCTTCCAATATCCTTTTGCCTTATACTTTATTTACTACGTCTGAACGGAGAGGCAGGGAAGGGAGAGAATCTGGCATCTGTGAACATGCGTCATAGTTCTCTAGGAGCATTTACGCCGCCACCCACTCCGACCCGACTCTCTCCGGCTTTTCTTTCACTTTCTCTTTCTGTGCCTTCCTCCCCCCCCCCCCCCCCTGAATGAATGGATACCGAACTAGTTCCATTGATTGTCTCCCTTTCTCCTCTATATATTCCTGCTCCTTCGATACCACACTCTTCGACCCCTACCGCCCAGAGGTGTGCCAAGATGAGGAGGAGTAAAGGTCTGCACACCTAGAGGATAGTGGGTGTCTGAGTCACAGGAAGTCCACATGCTAGAAATTCTCTTATGTCATGTTGGATTGGCATGCGCTCGCGAAACTTCCAGCTACGTCAGACGAGGTCTTAAAGCTAATTGACCTCATTTTACCTCAACCTGTTACAATAGCTCAAACTGAGAGACTCATCCGCCGTGAAAAGAGTAAAAAATTACTTACGGTATCGATGCGGGGACGAGATGCTAAGCGATTTGCTGTTGCTGACAGCACTAAAAGAAGATGTGAACATGGAGGAAGTGATGAATTTGCACAAATGAAAGTTCTTTACTACCCGCTGTTGTGGTTAATCCCATTAATTTCGCGGGTATTAAAGTAGTTCGCTTTCTGACCTAAACCAGAGAACTTCGATGAATCTACTTTATAGCCTCTAGAACTTTCGTTCGAGAGATTTCCTGCTGCTGCAACCAACTTTATATTACAGTACAGCGAGGCATTCCAGTACCGATTTAATTTCGCGAAATCCTAAAATTTGGCTTTCGTGACTTCGTGAATTTTGAATTTCACGAACTGGACCACCCCCATGTTTGGACCATTAACTCATTTGGGAAAATAGTCACTAGCTATTTAATTTCGCAATTCAATGTGCCTCGTAAAATTCATGAAATTAAAACAGGTACTAAAATTTCTCGTTGAACGGCATTATTTTTTCAAGTTGCATACCATCATTCCTCCCGTTGCAGTTTTACCAAATGACGTTCCTGGATTGTAGCGGTGAATATTGTCATCCGGACATGTCCTGCACTGCCTCGTCCATCTGAAAATAGTGAAAACCACTGCTACCGACACACGAAATCAAAGACCTAGATACTTCAGCATGACGTCAGGAATTGCGACTGGGCAATTATGCATGATAGCTTGCATAGTGGTGCAAAACAGCGGTACGGATTCCCTCCCTCACAACTCATGTTCTCTCTCATCCTTGAACTTCCTTGAATATCCTTCCTTGAACTTCCTTGAGTCCACCGAACGCCATCCATAACTCTTGCTCTACACTACGAGCGTAGGAGATAAAACTCAACCTGGATGCTTATAAAGTGTCTCGATTTTGTCGAGAGGCTATAGTGACAAGATTGTACTTTTGCTCCGTTCATATACAGGGTGTCCCATAAGTCACTATATCATTTCAAAAAATCACATTTACTAAACAGTTGATGAAAAAAGATGTAACATTAACTGAAAGATAACATGTCCTTTGGAATTATATTTGTAATAAAAAAAGGAGATATTTCAGAGTTTTGAAAGCGCCTCAAAATGCCCCCTGTCTATATCAATACATTTGGCATGAGGTTCAACACCAAAAATCGCCAGAAATCCCTTTGAACTCTGATGGGACTCTCGAAGATCTCCATCCAGGTTGCAACTTTTCTTCATTGCTCCAGCGTCAATTGCGAAACCTTTTCTCGTGACAGAGAAAACAGCGAAATAATTTATTTTTCCTGTTTCTCAAGTCTATCTGAAATTAAGAGAGAAAAACATAAAGTTTAGTAATTTTGTAGAAGTGGATACAACAAGGTGTACAAAAAATGTCCCTAAACAAGTACACCTTTCTAAGAAGCATTTGAAGCTATTTCTGCTTGAGTCTGATTCTAAGTCATTGTCGTGAAGAAAATTCTAAAGAACATTCTTTTCATCAATACCACGTACCAACAGTGACCAGCATGTTGCAGTTTAGAAAATATTGCAGTTTGAAATGGTATAGTGACGTATGGGACACCCTGAATAGCTCATCAAAAAATTAAGCAGAGATGGTGCCAGTGGCGTAACAAGGGGGGGAGGGGGGGGGGCAAGTGGGGCGGTCGCCCCGGGCGCCACAGTCCAGAGGGCGACAAAATAGCGTTTCAAAACATTTTTTTATTTCAAAGAAGCAAAATTTCAGAAAATTTTTTCATTTTGCCCATTTTGCCGCCTACTGGCAAAATCTCCATTTTGACGATTTTGCGATTTTTTCCCGTTTGCCACCCTCTGAACTGAGGGCGGCAAACGTCATGTTTCAGCAAAATGAAGCTGATTAAGTCGTACCTACGATCTACAATGTCTCAAGGAAGACTTACAAATCTTGTCAATCAAACATCAAGTTGCTTCTTCCATTGATTTCAGCGAAGTTATGAAAGATTTTGCAGCCAGTAAATCAAGAAGGGCTGAATTTTGATTGCAGTCGTTTGTTTGTAAGGATCGATTTTAATTACATTATTTGTGCTGAGAATCAGTCCTGAATAACATAAATAT